GTGGGAGGGGTAAGGGAAAGGAAAGAAGGGAATGGAGTTAATATGAGAAAATGAAAAAATGGAAGCAGTCTTTGTAGATAGGGAGGGATGGAGGGCTTGTGGGAGGGCAGGGGAATGGGGAAAAAATAAGAACCAAGAGAGATTACATAAAAGTGCAAATTTCCAATCATGAATGTCATTATATTGTATTCCTAAATTGTACCAATAAAATTAATTTAAGAGAAAGATGATATAATTGGATTCATCTTTCTAGAATAAAGCCAGTCCCAATTGAACTGTCTGAAGACCAAAATCACCCACAAGGAAAAACTAGTCCTGTGAGCCTCCGGAAGGCTTGAGATTTCTCTTCAAAAAGCACGACTCCTATCCTGCTACAGGAAGCATGGAAATTTGACCTGCTCCTCATATTTGGGCTAATAATGAAGGTCAAAGGTCATTAACTTTTCTCATTGTTTTCTGACAGGTTTTCTTTTTTTCATCCCAACCGGTGAGCTACAGCACCCTAAGGTAGTTGGAGAGCACATAGTCCCCATTAGGTATCATCTTCAGCCCCTTCAGCATGAAGAAGCTGTGCAAAACAGAGACCTCCACTGGCTCAGCACCCTATAAAGAATTATGGGGATTTGTGCCTCTCAAGAGGATATGGGATAGAAGATCAGGGCATGGCAAATCTGGTTGAGGAAGTAGATGTGACCTGTTAATTATAAGATACTAGACACATGTTCAGAACAGTTCCCAAAGCCCTGCACATGGACTTCTTCTCCCTCATGCAGGTTTTCAATAGGATGGCCTAGAAACAATATCAGCCTGAGCATGGGATCCGAGCACCACCTCAGAATCTGTGTGTAGCAGTTCTTGTGGGCTTCCTTGAGATTTAGACAGCAGAAAAGGATGCATACATGCCATGAGAACTTTGCTATCATAACTTTCTATGATAGCCCATTCTGTGTTTTCCAAATGCAGTGTGTACTTTTACCTTTGCTCTTATGCTCTTTTTGTCTTTACTCAGGCCAAACACACTCTGCAGAGACAGTTTCTCTCCCACTCTTCACTTTTACTTTCTTAAAAGAACTTTGTTGCTGCTTTTCTGCTCATTTCATCCGATTCTTTGTTCGAGATGAGAAGAACCTGGAATCTAACTCCAGAAGGAGAGGTAGCAACCCAAACCCGGTAATGTTTAGTTGGCCAGCCACCTTTTTAGAAACAAGGTGCCCAGTAACATATTGCCGTCATTTTATTAGCCATTAAATGCAAAATAAAAAGGTTCATTTTATAGCAGTTTTATTTTTTAGTAAAAGTCAAGATATATGTTTGGGTAAATACAACGTGATTTCAGGGTAGTGGTAATTTTATGACAAAAAGGAAGTGAGAATAGAGGTTTGAGGGTTTAGTTATTTCTAGTGTATTTTATTTCATTGTAAAATATGCAGGGCTTGGTGGCACGTACCTGTAATCCCAGTACTCTGGGATCCTGAGGCAGAACTGCAAATTCACACCCAGCCAGGCCAATTTAGTGACTTAGTGAGAACCTTCTCCAAACTTTAAAAATAAAAAAAATTAAAATTCATAATGTGTTCTGAAGGCCAGGGATTTAGCTCAGTGGTTCTGCTGCCCGCCTCGCAAGTGCAAGGTCCTGAGTTTGATCTCTGGTACAAAAAAACCAAACAAACTACAACAACAACAAGAAAAGAATGTGTTCTGAAACAAGGTAAAGTATCATTCTCTTTTTGCAGATTATATGCATAACTATCATGAAAAAGTTCAATTGAGTATTTCTATAATAAATATATCATATATATAATAAATGTTTTGTATTATGCGCTTGTTTTCATTGTCTTTAGGCTATTTTGCATTTTTATAAGCTGTAGATAATTGATAGATAAAGGCTCAAATAAAGTTCAATATTGTCTCATTAAATCTCTGCAATCTACAAAACTATGTCTGATAATGATTTAATTGATTCTTTTCTATACTCCCAAATTTTAAAATACACAGTTTAGTCTTCATTTGAAATTCACCTCAACACTACTGTACTCTATAAATTATGCTGATTTGATTTTTCCTTTGAAGCACTTATAACATCTGCCTGGCTTTCTCATAGCATATGTATAAAATAAATTGTTTAACATGTGTTCACTTGTGTATCTGTATGGGACTCATAATTTCACCTTCTTTGAATATTGTACATTAACAGAAAATTTTCTGTAAGTTTGTAATGTTTCACTATTTTTAAAAAGTAAAAAAATATGAAAAGACCTAATATCTGCAAGCTGAAGAGGAAGGGACCAGTGCTATGCTAGCAGAAAGCCCCTGTATCATAGCAGGGAGGACCACACCAAAGAATCAGAGACAGTGAGTGAGTTTTCCAAAGTAGGATTTATGGAGAAATTTTAAATCCATGATTTTTAATATTCATTTTATATTTAGCTTCTCTCCTATTTCTATTTAAATTTCTCTGTCTCATTTCCTCCAACCTTTTAGCAAAATACTTCCTCAAAACTGCTTGGTAGTAGATTTTTAGGATAAACAAAGGAGTTAAGCTAGTGAACACTGAAAACACTCCACAAACTCTGCTGAAGGCTTACTGGTCATTTCTACATAGCTTATTTCAAACTTTTACCTCTTTGTGATAATAACCACTACCACTTTGTTCATGAGGACAATTAAAGAAAAGTACGGTGTTTTAATTCAAAGCTGAATAATAATTTAACATCGCTTACAGTGAATTACATCACATTTAAAGTATAAAATTTTTTGGATCATTATAGATTCATACTGATTTTTTTTTCATAAATATTATAACTCATGTTAATGATGGTATTATTTTCTACCAGGTCTTCTAGCTCTTGCCTATGTAATGAATAAGTGCTACTTCATTGGATCTTTGTATTTGTGAAAGACAGAGTTCACAGGGGAATTAAGATTATTTTATTCAGGCTGTTGCAACAGGGAGCATGCCTATTTGTTGTATCTGTTTTTTTGTTTTTTGTGGGAGCATGCCTATTAATGAGAACCTTATAAAAGAAAAGAAAGGCCACCTGGTAGTTTATAAATGTAGGTAAACAAAGTAGTCATCAAAGAATCAGTGGAGTCCAAAAGGAAGTATGGTGATGAGTTTTATCTTAGTCATTGAGGAAATGTGAAGATGAATCTTAGCTCAGAATATGAAAAAGCAAGTAGGTCCTTTATGAGCAGGGAAGTTCATTCTCAAACATAAAAATATGGAGGATTTTTCAACCATCACTTGTATCCAAAAACACAGGACTCAGATAAACTTCAACATTGCCAGACCCCACTTTTGTTCATAATGAATGATACCTTTCCAACTCAGAGATGGTCAAAAGTCTCCTGGGTAGTATGAAGCAAGATATAAGGAAGCCTCTCAGGGATTTTTGTTGGCATTATTCCCATAAAACTAGTTGAAACCTCTTTTGAGAGTTAGTTCCAAAGGTCAGTTTTTCTAAAATTCGGAGATCAAGAAGAAATTCACCTAAATTTTTAAGAGAGAAAGGTATAAATAGTTGCATTAAGGAACCAGAAATCAAATCCTGTGAGTAACTAATCTTGTGGATTTCAAGAGATAGGTGAAGAAAAATCTTTGGTTAACAAGAACCATTCACTGAGTTTCTTGAAACTCTCAGTATGTTAATCCTCTTAGTAATGTTGGGCAATGGCCATGGTTACCTCTTACTTGACATTATGCATGACTTAGGCATTTTACCCAAATTTCCTGAGTGGTCTAGGTATTGGCTTGGCCAAGGAAAATTTCAGCCCATGCATATGCTCTACTATGTTGTGGAGTCAGTTGTTCAACAATTTTAGTTAAGTCACTGGACTTCAACTGGCAGGGTTTTTTTTCAGATCTTAAGGAAAAAGGCCACCTGTAAAGCAACCTAGAGTTCCTTTTAGTATCTGGGAAGATAAATTTGAGTTCTCAGTGGATCTACCTCAGGAAGAAGGAAGAAAATTTGAGAATGTTATTTAGAGGAGAGCAGGTGTGTTTGGAGTGTTATGGAGGTGGACAAAGAAATTGTCTTAGCAACTTTTCTCATAGATGAAATAACATACCCAAGACCCAAAGGTAAAGGAAGAAAGGTTTTTTTGGCTCGCAGTTTGTAGAGGTTTCAGTCCATTATTGGCTGGCTCCAAGGCTGGGTGGCATGGCAGACAGGCATTGCAGAGGAGAAACAGTTCATGGTGTGGGCAGAAGGTAGCAAAGCAAGCAAGAGGGACAACCATGCTTTTTCTATCCCTTATATCTTATCTAAGATACTTAGGGTGGGTAGCACTCACACCCTTAATCTTAGTGCCCTTGAGCCTAGCACTGCACCATGAATCAATCCCAGTGTCACACACTGTAGACCCAGCCACCTTTTAAAAGGTACCACCTATGACTGCATGAGGCTTTGAGGGGACATCTAAATAAGTCATAAAATTCCACCTCTGGTCCCCTCAAAACTTATGCATATTCCTTTATGCAAAAGGTATTTAGTCCATCTCCAAGAGTTGCCAAAGTCCTAATAGTTTCAGCATTGCCAAAAAGTTAAGTTCAAAGGCTCCACAGAGATTATGGCAAGCACTTAGCTGCAAGCCAGTGTACGAATGAAAAGAAAGTTAAACACTTCCAAAATTCAATGGCATAAGATAGACATTTCCACTGCAAAATTACAATCAGGGACATAGCAGGGAATAGAAACAAAGCAAGACCAAAGTCTAGCAGGGAATATCTTAAATCCTATAGTTCCACTTCCAACATCTCCTGCAATCTTTGGCAAGTTGTGAACTCCAAATGGCTTGGATGGCTCCTCCCTCATGGCACTGGCAATGGTTATAGCTTCCATGGATTCTCACTGGGACCCACTGTGACCCTTCCTTGTAGTTTTCCTCAGACAGTCCATGTTCTTAGCTTCTCCAAATATCTGGGGTCTCCACTGCACTTTTGTAGCTTCACATTTGTAGCTTCACACACTGTCCTCTCAGGGGTACACTGCCTGGCCTCCCAGGCCTTCTCAAATCTGGGTGGAAACCTTCTTGACCCCACAACTCTTGCATTATTCATGGACCTAAAACCAGTACCACGTGGATGATGCCAAGGTCTGCTACCAGCTGCAGCAGTAGCCAGGCTTCCTTCTCTCTTGGTTGCAGGGGTTGAGTGCCTATGAACCAAATTCCAAGGAACAGCTTCCTTAGGCTGCCACCATTTTGGAATATGGTGCTCTGGGGCTCTCTTTTCAAAGTAAAGCCTTTCACTTTTGAAATTTTGAGGCTGGAAAGGGTGGAGTCCCACTGCTTCTTGTGACACCTTCAGTCCTTCTTTTCTGTTGTCTTCTTCTGAAATAATTGATCTTTTCTTGCTAGTCTTTTTAGCAACCAATTTCTCCTCTCTCCCATCTTTGCACATTGCAACGTTACTGGAGCTTCCTTTACTGGAACAACTTTTTAAATCATTATTCTGGGCTCTTTGCTCTTGATTCTCAACATAAATCGGCTAAAAGCCCCCAACAGTAGCCATGCCACCACCTCAACATTAGACTACCTTGAGATTTCTTCTGCCAGATTAATTAGTATTCTGTCCTGAATCTCAGTCTCAGGCAAAGTCTCCGGACAAGAGCAAAATGAAGACAAACTTTTGACCAAGCCATAACACATATCTTCTGGAGTCCAACAGCCAATGTAGTCCTTCTTTCCAGCAGAAAACTCCTGAACTTGGCCTTTACCAGCAGAATTTCTATCAGCATTCTAGTTTTCTGAGCTCTAACTGGAATCTCCCATTAAGTACAGCTTTAGGCATTTAAGCCCTACTTTTTTAGCCAGCATCTCCAAACTTTTCCTAACTCTTCCCTTTCCCACTAGCTGGCACCAAAGTTTCCTAAACCACATGGTCAGATACAGTCACTACAACACCCCACTTCTCTGGTGCCAAATTCTGTCTTAGTTACTTTTCTCACTGCTGAGACAAAATACTTGACAGACAAAGTTAAAGAAGGAAAGGTTTATTTGGGTCACAGTTTCTAGACTGTGACTTAGAGCCATAATTGACTGGCTCTAAGTCAGGGTGGTATGGCATACAGGCATTACAGAGGAGAAACAGTTCATGGTGGGCAGAAGATAGTACAGCAACCAAGAGGAACCAAGAGGAAAAATCACAGCTCTTTTTACCCCTTATATCTTATCCAGACTAATTAGGGTGGGTAGCACTCACACCCTAAATCCTAGTGCCCTTAACCTAGCATTGCACAATGAATCAATCCTAGTGTCACACACTGTAGATCCAGCCACCTCTGAAAAACTCCCACCTATGACTGCATGAGGCTTTGGGGATTCATCTAAACACAAGCCATAACAGAAATGTTATTTAGGAAATTTGTAACCAGATACTGAAGGAAATGTGAAGAATCAAACATTTGTTAATGTTGACCATTTCGGACAAGATAACAAAATCCAGTACAATTTTCAGATATATATATAAAAAAAACCCTGGATTTTTCTACTCTGAGCAAAAATGTCATTAAAATCTCTATTCAAAACATTTGAATATAAGTCACCTGACATTTACAAAAAGGTGTTAAATAGCTCAAAGACAATGAATAAGGCCCAGAATGTGATTACATGAAAGGCTACTGTACAGAAAATTCAGTTTCCCATTTAATCAGAAAATTTGTCTCTATAATTGTCCATTTTTGATAAAAAAATAATATCAAAGAAGGATTGCTGTTTATCTCAAAATAGCAGGAAGCTCATTAGAGTTGATGTAATTATTTCCATATGTGTAACAAAAATGGTAATTTACCAGACAGGTCTTAAAATATTTTTTTGTTTTTTGAGACAGAGTTTCACTATGTAGTCCAGGCTGGCCTTGAATTACATGTACTCCTGCCTCAGCCTCCCAAGTGTTAGCATAGCAGGTGTTCAGCCCACCTGGCTTAAAGTTTTGTTCTGTTTTGTCTTGTTTTGTCCTGGCAGATTTCATGAAGACTTCCAGGTTGAACATTTAAAAGAAAGCTCCTTGAAGGAAAGAAGCCAATTCCAAGAATTCACTGTAAGACTCTAATGTATTAACTATGAATCTGGATAAACTCTGCCTTTCTCTAGTTCTTCAAAATATCCTAAATTTCTGGACCTTTCAAGACTTGAACCTCCTTACTCACCTCTAAAAGCCTGTGGGAAGCCAGGTACAAGGCCAGTTTTCTCATTGGAGCTTAGAAGTATTAGCTTTATAAAATTAACCTTAGGTCATGAAATGTGTCTGGTAATGTTTCTTATATGAGTTTCATTGTCAAATGTGACATTCCAGGCAACACCTTGATTGCATGACCAGTGTTTCCAATTTGTCTTTTGTTGTCTAATATTGAGCAAAGCAATACTAGAACTCTGATGAATAGAAACATGTTATAGAAATGAGATCACTGATAATTCTCTAGAAACTTCCCACAGGGGATACATTTTTGAAATATTCATATTAACAACAGTTTACACGTACATATACATTTATTTTTAATTTTAATAGTTTACTTGTTGATATTTCTTGAACTTTCTATGTTGTACAATAATGTCACTTATAATATACTTTTATTTCTTTCATGAAAACTTTATGTAATGCATGTGTTTTTCTTGCCTTTAAGCCTATTTTTTAATACATGTTTGAGGGACATAATGATTACATTTATTGTGGGGAGTTGGTGTATATATATAAAACATCTTAATACTTTTTCATCCCCTATCCCTCCCACCCCTCCCTGCTCCTTCTCTCTCATGGTCCTCTTCACATTTGCAAAAGCTCTATTTCTATTTCTTTCTTTCAGTTTTTCTTTTATTAAGTCCCCTTTCCATACTCTCCCTTCCCCTTCCCTCAATCTCTTTTTCTCCTATCCATTTGAAAAACATCTCCCTACTTCCAATTATCTTTCATTTTGTTCTTTATTTATATTTTGGTGGTCTCATATAAGAGAAACCCTGTGATATTTAATCATATGTGTCTGATTTATTTCATTTAACATTATACACATACATTTAACCTAGAGGAGGCTAAGCATTTCTTCTGATTTTACAATGTGTCACCTGTAATTCATCTGCAATAATATACCAAATAAACTTAATTATTTTGAGGAGTTTTCATTTTGCAAGATGAGAGAACAAATTCTTTATGATTTTCTAGAGGCCCACAGGAAGACAACTGCATCTTCAAAAAACATCAGTATTTGAATTGGGGAAGACAACATATCAAAGTTTTCAGGTTTCAGCACTTGATTAAGATAGAATCATAGATTACTAAGGAAAAAATACTTGGCTGGATACTTACTAAGATAAAAATAAAAGATTTTTTTAAAGTAAACATAGGGGTCAAAGACCTTAGCTATTTTCTAAGTGAGAGACATTTGTTTTTTTAAATCATCAAGGATGTAACAAAGTCAACACAAACGAAAGTTATCCTGGCCAGACACAGCATCTTTTCTATCTAGGAAGCCTACACAGAAGAAATGAATAAAGTTTTAAAGCCTGTTATTAAGAGAATATCAAAAATCCCAGAAAAAAAAATCCCAGAAAATTGTATCTTTTTAACAGAAAGAAAACCAAGTATTAGTTTTGTATTAGGATATTTGATGATAAAAATATGTTTAATATTTTATATAAAATCATCAAATCTTTGACCACAACAGATAATATTCCCTTTCCAAAAACCTCCTACAATTTCCTTTATCCATAGATATACTTTGTATATTCTGCTCAATGTTGTAAAAGCGAACATGTACATTAACAAATCCAAATATCAATAATGTACTGTAACCTATAAAAGTAGGCAAAAATGTTTACTTCAGTTTTTAAATCGGTGTTTCAGTATCCCCTCTTAGCAATAATCTAGGTGTCTAATGAATATCCATTCATTAACTCAATTTAATATATGTTCACAAATTTAAAGTTACCTCATGATCATGGAAATTACGTTCAAGGTAGGATACTAAAACACGTAATTGCTAATAAAATAGTTTGTCAAAATAGAGATTTTATTTGGTTAAACACAAATTTACATTTTTCATAATTTTATACATATGTTAGCTTATTTGATCAGTAAACCAATTTAATTTTAGGAAAAGCATTCACTAGCAGAATAAAAATATATTAGAATATTATAGTTAACACTGATAAATCACAGAAGACAGTAATTTTTATTAAACAAAAAATGTGAAGCTAAAAACAATTGTGAAATATTTATGTAAATTTGAATTCTTTTTGTTTAAATTAATTTTATTGGTACATTTTAAGTATACAATATAATGACATTCATCATTGGAGATTTGTATCTTTACATAATCTACCTTTTGTCTTTTTGGTACCGGGGATCGGACTCGGGTCCTTGGGCTTGCGCAGCAGGTGGCGGAAACACTGCGCTAAATCCCTGGCCCCATAATCTATCTTGATTCTTATTTTTTCCCCATTCTCCCACCCTATCATTAATTTGAACTCAACACATTTCTGAGTTGGTTTCTATACTACTATTTTTTCAATTAAATAATCTTAAACTTATGAGAGATAAATATTCTTGTTTTCTGGAAATTTTAGGATTGTTATAGCTATTTTACATATCTATAAGCTAATCAGAATAAAGCTACTTAAAGAAATTTTATAGACATAAACATACAAACAGTCAAAGAGAAAATTCATGACTTCAATTCTAAAATTTCAACCATGGGTCAAGCAGAAACACAGAAATTTAAACACAGTTCCCAGTGGACAAGAAATTTCGGACTGATTTCGACTCTGAATAGATGAGAAGACAAGGTAGAAATACTAACAGATCAGATTTTCTGTCATCTTTCAAGCAACACTGCAAGATTTCCATAAAACCATTAATCTGTTTACAGAGATCATCAAGTGGTCATACTATGAAATTAAAAGAAACTAGCACCAGAAATCAAGTCACTACTCAAAAGGAAGCAAAAATGTAAAGTTCTTACTGTGGACAGGAGTCTGGAGTACTGGGGGAGGAGTCAGACTCATTGCTGAGTATCAGATGGTCAATCAGGAAGAGCACAAATTCTGAGAGGCCTTTTTACTTGGGTGGAGTATAAGGGAATCTGAAGGCAAAGTCGGATCCCATTGGAGTATGGAAATAAAGTCATACAAAACAAAATGTTTCAGACAATTAAGAAACTTATTTTATTCAGGCGAATGCAATAGGGAGCATATCCATTAATGAGAAATTTCAAAGGAAACGAAGAAAATGTGAGGTTGAGGGTATGATTTAAAAAAAAGGAGTGATCAGTGAGTCTGACGGGTCTCGTGAGGCAGGATGGAGATCGTGTTATGTAAGTCACTGCTAAGGGAGGGGGTAGTTTTAGATAATATTTTTGAGACTAGGATGGTACTTTGAAGAAACAGTTTCTCAGAACACAAAAGTGAGGGAGGATTTCTCAAATATCAATGCTTTGGGTGAGCACAGCACTGAGTATACCACTCACATTAAATCTCTGAAAACTATTCCAATGAAATCATATTTATATAGATTATTTTTGACAATTATTAATAAAGGTCCACATGCTACTTTATCAGCCTAGTATGGTGTTACCTACTGTAAAACCAAAAATCTCCTAATAGCATGACATGTTAAAAATACTACTGGCTTACTCATGTGCTAAACTCTTCAAACTCTTTTGATTTCCTTATTCACAAATTCTTATATATTTGGCCATTATTCAGATTTATAATTCCATAACAGAGCTAGTTTGTTATTTCGTTGTTAGAAGCAACAAATCTTGATATCAAATAATCCATATCATGTGGTTATAATGCTAGAAAACTTTTTTTTTCTTTTATTGGTACATTTTAGGTATAAAATATGTTTACATTTATCATTGGATGTTTGTACCTGTACATGATGTATCTTAGTTCTTATTTTATTCCCCATTACCTGTGCACCCTTCACCCCCTCGACCCTTCCCTATTTACAAAGATTTCATTTCCATTTTTTTTGTTTTCACATAATTTTTCCTATCCCTTTTTCCCTTTCCCCTTTCCCTCCCACCACCACTATAACTTTGGACCTTTTCCTATTTCAAATTATGAATTATTCGTTTTAATCCTTATTTACACTTTCAGTTCCTCACACCAGAGAAACTATTCGGTATTTACAGATGTGTGTTCTACTTATTTCACTTAAGAGTATGGCCTCAATATGCATCCATTTAGCTATAAATGTCTCTAGTTTCTCTTTCTTTATGGCTGAGTAGTACTCCAT